TGTTTTATGGCCTTACATGGAGAGAACCACTTATAGGAATAAATGGATGCAATTGAACAAAGTGAAAATGTAGGCTGAATATTAGGAAAAAAATCTTAACGTTGAGGTTTAGATTATGGAACACTTTTCCCAAAGGATGTGGTCCAAGCTCCATTACTAGTCCCTTAAAATTAGGCTGGATAGAATAACAAAATGTACTGGAGGGAACACGTTAGCCCGGGTAGAGGATGAACATGGTTACCTAATATGTCTTTGCATTTCACTTGCTTCCATGATTCATTTCCTGAGGACCTGCTTCCAGAATGTGTTAATGACATCACGGCCTCGGCCTCCTCCGACACGTTGGGGTTTCTTGGTAATGCCACTTCCAATAGAGCTTATTTGGAGATTGCAGAAGGCAGTTTTGCAGGATCCTCTGGCAAGTCGTCTGTACGGTCAGGTTCAATTTGCTGCTTCAGTGACTGATGGAGAGACGGAGCCTTCCCGGCGCAGAGCAAGTGCCCGCCAGGGCTGTGCCGGCCTCTCCCGACGGCTCCGCGCTCTTCCTCCTGTGGTCAGGACAAGGGTTAAGTGGCGGGATTTGCCTTTCAGAGCTGGGCTTATCAGCCACTGGCACCTTCTGCTTTCCTTGTCAAGCAGCGGGAAGCATCATCTCCTCCAGAATCACACTGTTAGGTGCAGAAAAACATAGACTAAATAATGCACGAGCTCTGTCACCAGTTATGTCCTCGAATGAGTCCGTCTTAGTGGTTCCACGACTTGTTTTTAGAAAATACACCTTCCAGAAAGTACCTTTTAAAAATGCAGTGTCTTTTTATTCAATCTTCCCGTAGCAGTAGGAGCGCATTTTTGGGTGGTATTTTGGAATTTCCTGCCGCTTGGTCTTTGGACCTCGGGTGAAGTGATAACTTGGTGGGATTTGGATCCTGGATCGCTGTGTTGTTTCCCCGGATCGTGTGTTCGCTGTGACCTCCTGCTGTTGCTGTACCCCAAACCCTGATGGGGTAAAGGGTTGCAGCAGCACACGTGCTTGCTTAAACTCAAGCATCTCACCCGGGAATTCTTGTTGTCTGCGGCCGGCTTGAAAAGAAGCTCTTCTCCCCATACTTGAAACGGGAATTTATTTTGCTGGACTGTGTGTCGCCTAGAAACTATTCATTCATAGTCGGCTTGAAAATGTCTTTCCTTCTACGTTGCAAGCTCGCTTTGGTTAATTCTGTTAGGCTAATGCCAGGCAGTGGGGAGCATGAAAAATACTGCTGAAAACACACAACTGCTGCTGCTGTTTGCATTGCCCTGTCAGGTAGAGTGCTAGCTTTCAAAAATCTGGTATTTACCAAAACTTGCATCAGCCGGTGTCAGAAAAAAAGCTATTTTACAATATTTAGGGCAACCGTTTTTGCTTTTAAGTAAATAATGTTTTAAAGCCAGTTATACTTTGCCTTCCTAGCTAAAAACCTTACCATACTTTGACTTTCCTACCTAAGAACTCTTTAGTTCTAAGCTTTTAGTTCAGACCTAAAAAGTCTGAACTTTTATTGAGTTGCTCTTGATTTCCTTATTTCAGTGGTGGGATTCATTGCTGTAGCCTGGGTATATAGCAAAGAGTTGATGCCCCTTGTGGGCTTCATATAGTGGGATCCTGGAATACTTAATGCACAAATTCATTAACCATAAAAAAAAAAAAAAAAAAAAAAAAAAAAAGTTGTGTGTTTTGGGTGTTGCAGTTTTGATGGTTTCTTTATGAATATTGCAGAAACTTGCAACGGGCCTTTTCCAAATTAAATGTAGTTGGTTTCTTGGCATCATGTAAGTGAATATACCTGGTGCTCCTCACAAATAATAGTTTTAAGTTCCCAAGAACCTTAAGGGAGTGCTTATAAAGTATAAAATGGCTTTGACTTGTAAGTTGGTGAGCATCACCTCGGTGCAGAAGTTGCCTCCTGCTCCTACTTCTTCCATTCCATTGGTGATTCCATGGAGCACTTTTTCCTCTCCCATTCTTTATCGTGTAACATCCCTGTGGCAACTTGAGAAATTGCTTACATGGAAAAGTAATAGCAGGAAAGTATTTATGTATTTTTAGCTTTCTTCTAACACAATGCAGCAGCTGGAAACAAGGCCAAGAGCCAGCACAACGTGCACTGCCAGCTCTCCGTGGGCCACCAGAAAGTGCTCATCAGAGCACAATGTGAGAACCATTGAACTGACTGAAGAAATGTGCCACATACAATAAGCATTAAATAATCATAATATAAAAAAAAAAAAACAAAAGTTGAGTTCCCAGAGCTGTTGCTTGGGCATAATAAGAATAAATTACCAATTTTGAATAACATGTTTTTGCTGGTTTTGATGGAGGAACACCATGATAGTATCAGCTAGATGCTGTGAAGAATCATTTTTGCTTCATAATCTATATTTGCTGCGATATTAAATATCCTTGGGCCATTAAGCAGTCATTGGTATCCTCAAAGCTTGATAAACTGAGAAACCGAGGTGTGGAGCTAGAAGCTGATTTGAGTAGAAATGTAGGCTGAAATCGGGTTTGTTCTGTTCGCTTGCTGTTTCCGTTGTTGGATTTTTGTCTGTTGGATTTCTTTTAGTATTTTTTTCACTTACTGCTCAAGCTGAAGTCTTGCCTGCTTGCTTTTTGTCCTGCCATTTTTCAGCAAGGGAGGACGATTGCTGTTTCAAAATGGTAAAATGAAAGTAAAAGATCAATATGTGCTTTTCTTTTTTTTGAGGTTTCACCTCTACCAAAGCTTTCTTCCTTTCTTTTCAATCTCAAACGTAGCCTGGACCTGCCACATAAATCTGGGGCATACAGGGCTGCTCCTGGGATCTCTCTACAGAAATCCTTATGGCTCAAAGTTGGCACTGAGCAAAATAATTTTCAAAGCAATAAAATCCAGCGCCAGGATGATAATGATATAGGATTAGGAATTGGGGGGGGCAGGTCGTGTGTGTAGGGGAACAGAGGAGAAATGGATCCACTCCAGGAATGAGAGGAATCCGTGCCTGTGGAAAGGTTGTGCCAGCAAGGATTCAAATACAGCGCTGTGCTGGAACTTAAGGAAGGCTCAGCAGTCCAACGGGAGACTTCATGAAGTTTATTTATGAATCTGAACCATCGTGGTGGAAGTTGGAATACGACTACAGTTCTGCAACAGCTCTAGAATAAGGAAATCCTTATCCCAGGAGATCCTTTTCCCAGTAAGATGGTTTGAAGTAAGCAGCTCAGAGGAAGCTGGTGTCGACTGGAGGCTCTTTCAGGGCTTATCTTACTGGCACGTCCACTAAAGGCTGGAAAACCAGGAAGATGCCTCTTGTGAAAGAACTACAACCCATTCCACAAAAATCACACAATACTGGGAGTTCACTGATATGCTGACTTCTAGAATAAAGGCTATGTAGTGCTTCGGGGCAGACTGACTGTATGCAGAAATGCTTCGTACTAAGTCAATTTTGAAGCAGTCTCTCTTCTCCTGCTACTTGTATTTTGGTTTTAAACTTCTTTGAAAGTATGGAGGAAAGGTGCAGCCTGGCAGGATGGGACATGGAAAACTGAAAATGCTGGCATGGCTGAGCGCTGCACTGAGCTGTTCCTTTAAGAGAAGAAATCTGCTCAATTTATAGTAACAAGTAATGACTTTAAATGAAGTTTTTTCATTTTTTAAGGATTTCTTTGCGTGTTACATTTCTAGATAACTCTTGTTATCTAAATCCTAACTTTTCCAATATGTGGACTGATGGATCAAAACCAGGACCGTAACAGATTCTTAGTGTAAAACGAGCTTTTTGGTAGGAAGGTAAGGGCAGAGCCCCAGTGACACTGAAGCTGTCATGTCCTACCAAAGCAGATGAATTTTAGTCTCCCCCCGTATGCTTTCTCCTCAGTAAAGCTGAATTTGCTTTGATTCTGGTGCCCCATGTTTTCCCCAGTGTAATGTGGCAAGGAAAGGAGGATTTATGGCTCTGATGAAGAGGAGTGAGGGGAGCCTTCGTCCTCCAGCACTGCCTCCTCCCCGTGCCGTTGCCCCATCCCTCTATAATAGGGCATGGAGCTAGTCAGGCGGCTTCGCTAGCAGGGCTGTAATTAAAAACAGAAATTCCAAATGCAGCATTATCATGTTGGAGTTAATTTTTTTAATGCTGTATATGTTACATTGGAAGGTTACTCGGCTTGTGTTTTGGGCCCAAGCACCACCTTTTGGGTGGGATAATCAGAGTTTTAGCAAGCAGTGTTCAGGAGCTGTGTGCATGTGTTATAGGGAGAAGAGGTGGATATATCCTAGCATGCAGCCTTAGTGTAGCTAGTCGGTGAATCACAAAGGGCTGATGTGGGATCGCTAGTTCTTTATGATGTTTTATGTGTTTCTACTTAAATTTTTGTGTGTGTAAAATGACTGTCATTTTTATGTTTTCTTATATAAGTATTTTAGAGGCAATTGTAATAAAAGCAAAGTGACAGTTCTTCAAGTGGAATCAGTCAGGCTGACTGGCTTCTGGCAGCATCACTAGTGATTTGTGTCCTCAACCTTTTGTGGCTTTTTAATTAGATTTTTAACTTCAAATTATTGCAAACACTTTGTACTTCCATACCTGTAACAAGGAGTCTCAGAGCAGTGCAAGCGGAGCATCGTGCTGCTTCAGGTTGTTTCATCTTCTGTCTGATCCTAAAAACAAAAGGCCAGCCCAACTAATAGCATAAAGCTCGAATTTAAATTGCTGTTAATCCTTTTTTCTCTTCTCCCCGGGAAGTTAGTTATTTGGTATTGTGCTGTCTGCGCACAAGTAATGGGCAGCAATGTTCTCTACAGGGCTCTAAATCCGGGTGTTCAACTTCAAGCAGTATTAGCATTTGTCACTGCTCTCTGCCTAAAACATAATGAGGTTATTGAACTTGGAATACGTAAGAAAAATGGTGGAATATGGACCAAGTTTGGATTACACCTGCTCTTTTCTAAGAGGATTGTGCTCTTTTGCCTCTTTCTCCCCAGCTGGCCTATGGACAGTGTTCACGCTGGGGGGAGTGGGCAGCAAAGCGACGCCGCAGCTGGAGCAGTGCCCCCCTCTCGCTAACCAGAGTCTCCTGCTTCTGCTTGTCTTGGCCAACCTCACCGACGCGCCCGACACCCCGAATCCCTACAGACAAGCTATTATGTCCTTCAAGAACACGCAAGGTTTGTATTTGCTTTTAAGCATGCACTGATGAAAGTGAGGCACTGCAGTGCTGGGGATGCCTCTTCCTAAAACTTATCCAGTAAGCCCAGGGAGATGTAATAATCATTCCTCATTCTGGGAATTTTGTGGTGGAGCTCCTCAGCTGCTGGAATTTACTCAGAGGGGTGGAGAAGAACCAGACACGTTCTTTCTGGATGGATAAACTTTAGAAAGCTTCGCAGTTTTGTAAGATATAAATAAAAATGGGAGATATGGCAACAGACCAGCTGTCTGGAAGTCTGCAGAGGTCCCCTGGAACTTGATAGGACTTGGGGAATTTCTGGTTAGCAGGCACCGAGTTAGAGTTAAAATAAGCAATGGAATGGTCTTATCAGCTGAGTCAACGTAACAGACGTGTCCTTTCTTGTATTGGAAATGTTAGGAGAATTTGGCTAAATTTACTCTAAACACTTCTCCTCTAAGTATTGAGCAGGCTGAGCTCATTCACATCCTAATGTGGCCTTTTCATCTATCAAAGCTTTTTTTGACCAATTGAGATCCAGATCATCATACTTTTTTTTTTAAACCAGCTGATAGTTTGTATGAATAACTTCCTCTATAACTTTGTTTAATAACTTATACTCTAGTTGACTAATAACTACTAGTAGATAACTAGTAAGACTTCATTAAAAACTATTATTCATGAATCATTATAAATTTTTAAAAGCCTATTCATCAATTCTAGTCAAAATAGTTTGCCAACCTGTATTTTTCCTAAATGTGTATATTTAGAGTCACTTCTTATTGAGCAGGCAGAAACTTGTTTCCACCAGCAATATTCATATACCTGAGCTTAAATTTGATTCCTGTGAACTTTCTGAGAGTCTGGAAGAAAGAGAATGGTATGGAAAAGACAGGCTGGTTGCAGTAATAATGATCTATAGTATAATAATATAATAGGAAAACTGGCTTTTAAAAAGCAATTTATATAATTTAATGGAGACAGAGCTAATAAAATTCAGGATAGTTATCTTTTTTTTTTCCTAACTGCTCAAGAATATTTTAACTTTTCTTTTGGTTGCTTTAATATTCTGTACAATCATACAGGATTTATTGCTGTTGCTGCATTCCATAAGCTTTTTAATAATATTTAGAAAAGAGCTTACTGTTCTTTAAGGTCTTCTCTAGTAAAATATATAGCGCTATAAATGCAAATGATGCAGTGTATAAATTCATTTAAGAGGAGCTGGAAGGTCAGTGGACTCTCCACAGTTAATGATGGGTGGCATCAGCATCCTTAATGAAGCACTGATCTGATTTTACTGCCCACGTCGAAATTTTACCTGGGAAAGAAGAATATTAACGTGAAAGATGAGTGTTTTCCAGCAGCCAGTCCATAATGATGACTGGGGTTTGAAGGAGAGAGGAGGAAATGGGAATTAAGGGAAAAGGCACAAGGGATGCGGAGGAGGCTGCGCTGCCAATGCCGGCGGAGTGGGGAGCTGCTGCCACCACATCCTCGGTGCAGAGCTGGGAGCTTCTGCAGGAAGGAAGATGTTTGGCATCAGTGTTTCCTTTTTCTGGTTTTTTTTGGTTCTGCTTTTTCCCGTGGTTCTCCTGCACAGAGGCCAGGAGTCCGTCTCTGGAGTGGCTGCTGCACGAGCCGGCTCCCGGAAATCCGCTGGGAGCTGTGGCTCTCCTTGGGTTCCTACAGCCCTTCCAAACACCGTGGTTTTTCCTCCCCAAAAAGGTTGAGGGTGTTCAAAATAAGTGGCCATTGCCATGAGCATCCCCATCTGACAACTGTCCTGAGCAATCAGTAGCTCTTGGGAAACTCCACTGGCATCATCCACCAAAAAGAAGAGGAAAAGTGGCCAGCGCTTATTTCAGTGAGTGAAATTTCTGTACTTCGACCAGCACAGAAGTTTAAGCTTGGTAGGAAGTCACGGAGCCGTGCAGTTTGTGTTGGCTCCCAGTTCCTGTCCCTGGGCACCCTACTGCTGCAGATGCTCCCGTGATTTTTCATGGAGATGCAGCATCCTTGGGGCTTTGGGAAAGGGAAGACTCAAATGCGGTATTGCTGCCTAGCTTGCCTGCTCTTGCAGTGCAAACTGAAGGGCTTGTCAAATAGCAAGTTTTGAAATTGGAGTACTTTGTTCTTTTTCTTCATTTTTAGAGGCTTTTCTCCCTTAAAATCCCTTCTGTCTAAAAATTACTCTGCAAAAGGTACTTCTGCCATTCTACAGGAGAGCTTTTCTCAGTTCATGCACTTCTTTTTCTCCTCAAAGCAAGTAAAGAATTCAGAAATCCATAGTAGGGTCTAGGGGATTTTAGTTAAATTCTTCAACTTTTGGCATCTTATTTATAGCAATGAAGCAATTTTTAATTCCAGACAATAACGTACTTGAGCACCCGAACAGTTGCTATCCCCATAATACACTTTTGCCATGAAATTGCTATTTTTCTATGTGCTTAGCTTTTTGTATTCTCAGAAAGGAGAACTTCATACTGTTGTGAGAAGACTTTGGGAACAGAAATCTCATCTGGTTTATGTCACTTCCAGCTCTGCCACAGCTTATACTGTACATGTGAACAAGCTGCTGCTACTTGGAGTGTCGCTAGACTTTGTGACACGTCGTTTTAAATCATATTTAATTACACCATTAAAGAAATATCCTGCATATTTAACAGTCCTGCAACACTCTCAGTGCAGGAATTGTTTTCTTTTTTAAATAGCAAGGGCTGTCTAGAAGATCACAGCACTTTTATTTTAAAAAAGGCTGTCTTGTGCAGATGCAGGTGTCTCCCCAGCTCTCACCTGGGAGAACAGCCTCAGCTTTCGGACACCACTGAAGCTCTCTGAGGTTTTATGGCCATTGGTGACATTAGTCTCAAATTATATGTTTTTTCCCCCCTTTCTTACTGTGATTGTAGAAAATGTTTCACCTAGGGATTTTATAAAATAAACAAAGGTTTATTTGTTAATATTTACTTAATATAAGCTTTTTTTTGGTAAATATGGCTTTTGGTTTCTTTATTTCAGATAACACAGCCTTTTCTTCATCGAACCCGCATGCTTTCCAAATTAATTTTAACAGCCTGTACACAGCTTTGTGTGAGCAGCAGAAATCAGATCAAGCGACTCTTCTTCTGTACATGCTTCTGCATCAGAACGGCAACGTGCGCACGTACGTCCTGGCCCGCACGGACATAGAGAACCTTGTAAGTATTGACCTGTTGCCTCATGCTCCAGAGGGATGGATCCAGGGAAGCTTTCATGCGGCTGGCTGTTCGTGTTCCCCATTCTAAGGCAGCACCAGCTCTGACCAACTCATCCACCTTCATTTTATCATCTCAGGAGGGTTGTGCAGACCACGGGGCTGCAGGGAAGGTAGCTGCTACCTGAGGCTGCCAGCCTGCCTGTCCCTAATGGCACTGCCAGTCTGAGCCAGCTGAAGGCTGCTGACCTCTGGGCATGCTGAGAGAAACTGATTACAGATACTGCCCTACTCATGACTTTGGTTTTTGTTTTTCGGATGTTCAGGCCAAAAAGCAAGCTTACTGGGTGTGATTATGTGTAATAGCTAACAATATGACCTGGGACTTCACTAGTATGACAAGTGTCCTACAGAGTTGACCTGTGCAAGTGTCTGAGACTGAAGTTCCTCGAGGACTAGTGGTTTTCCTTTAGAAATGCAACCAGACTGTCATTTTAGCTGTTTTGAGATGAGGTTGTGGTTGATGGCCAATGTAACAGCCACCTGGCGTGGGTTTTTTTGTAGGTTATAAATTAGCTTGTGCCTTCCCCTATGTTTAGCAATGTCACAAACGGCTTGAAGAAATTTTTCTTATTAAAAAGCTTTCTTTTAGAAAGATAATGGCTGTCTACGGGAATTGGTAACAGGACAGGGAGCCTTTTTCATTTTAATAACTGAAAATCTGCCAGATAATTAGATCCCATGCATGTTTGATGGCAGCTGTGCAATGAGCTTGGTCGCCATCCAAGTTCTAGCAGATAAATACGTTGCTAAAATCTGAGCTGATAGACACCACTGTTGGCAAACGCGAGCAAGATGGTTGATAGTGAACTAGTGATTCAAGACTGAACTCCTCTGTGGTCTGTTGCAGGTTGTTGAGGCTGGGGCTGAGTCATTTTGCATGAATATTGTGGACAAATTGCCACGTTTAGTTTTCTGGGCTGTTGGTACATGGTATGACATGTTTCACAGCTGCTAAACTTACAAATTTATTCTGTCTCTGGAAAAATAAAGGCTGGGGTGTGTTTGTGTTATTGTATAATTATGGTATTTCATATATTGTAAAGCTTCCAGAAAAAGCACAAGGTGTGTATGTCAAAACAGCTTCAGATGCAGATGCTCAAGCGTTCTGCCATGGGGGAGATTATCGTGTATTAGCACCTGTCTTTCCTCCCACTCTCAGAAAGAAAAGAAAAAAAAATCAGCAAAAACCTTTCAGCAATCTCAGAAGTAAAAAGCAACACTAAAAAGTTGGTTTTCTGAGAAAAATTGAGAAAATTGGGGAAAAGAATTACTGCAGAGTTAAAGGTGTATTCCATTTGAAGACCAAAATGTGAAATCCGTCTGCCCTGTCCTGTATTATCCCTTCTTTTGTGTTACTTTTCATGCATTTGGTTGTTCTTTGTGGCCATCATTGACACCTTGGAACAATCTGCTCGCTGCTAGCAAGCTGGTAGATAAGGCAGAGCAGCAAGCAATGAGGAAGAGCAATTTTCCTAGGAACAAAAAGCCTGGAGCGCATCCTGAAGCATCTGAGAAGGCTTGAAGGGGATTAAGTAGACCAAGAAATCGTGATCTCCCTGTTCCAACTCTGTGCTAAAAGGGGCTAATTCACTCTGGAAATCGTAAATAAGACAACAGGGCAGGAATTTGAAGCTGCATTTTCTGCTTCTGTATACGGCAGCACCATAGGAGTGGTGTGAACATTCTCCATGCTATTGTGGTGTTGCACCAACATCTCCATATTTACGGACTATTAAAAAAAAATGCAGCAAGTGTAGGCAAACATTTTTTCCCCCTTAAAAAAAAATAAAAAGAAAAACAACAACTGTGAAGACTTACTGTTCGAGGCTCAGAAAGCTGATCTTGTTCAGTTTGTCAGCAAGAGGTTTAAGAAGTGCCTGGATGTGTAAGTAGCTTCCAGGGAGAAAGGCTGAGCGGAAAGGATTTGCAGGGAAAGGTACCGTAAGGAGCAGAGGCTGCAAGTCCGATCCCCCAACCTGCGAGATGGGAACAAACCAGTTCAGGTAATGGGCTCGTTGGAGGAACTGCCGGCAGACGAGGCTGTCTTTGAGCCGAGGGCGGATGAGTTTTTGGAAGGCCGGGGCTGTGCAGGGTGAATGTCCGTGATGCACGAGAGAGCAGGTCCGCAGGCACGCCGAGTCCTTGGAACCTCGCAGGGGGCACAGATTCTTGCTGTTCTGCCTGGCTTGATGCAATCTTGCCTTTTCCCCCCGATTTTTTTTAGTACCTGCAGATATTGATGCCCAAGAAGCATCGCTGGTCAATGTTCTGTGTGTTTTCCTAGCTTTTGCTCTAATTTATCTTTACTCTTTTGGGGTCTTGTTTTTGTTTAATTCATAGATTGATGCAACGTGAGGGGTTTTTTTAACCGTTTTAACAAGTTCTATCTCAGCTTCCTTGTTTGTGCATGAATCTACAACCAATTTGAACATAAACTTAATCTTCAATTATTCTATATATTGCTTTATCATTAATAATGCAGCATATAGAATTGTTTTACACCTCTGGTGCTTTCAGGGATGTGCCTGGCTGGAATTTGGCTCTGTTACTGAAAGCCTGTGCGGAGATGCTCCAGGAAGCGATGGGACCAGTAAAACAGGGGCAATCAACAATTTTTTTCCTTGACATAGTGTCATGGCTTGCATCTGTGAAGCCTTCTCCTCTTTGTAGAAGCAGATAATGTCGCTCTTCCAGCGAAAATCACTAGTGGGATATCTAGCTGTGCGAAAGGAGGGCTTTCAGTTGACCACTTTTTGCTTTGGATGCTGAGCTTGCAGTGATGCTCCATTTGCTGCCGTGTTTTGTTGCAGCCCAACGTGATTAGATCAAAATGATGTATATGATGATGCCTTTACATCAGCTGATAATATGGCACTGCTTCCTCAGAGGCTTTCCTTGGGGTGAAGCACACTGCTCCTGCAAGGCTGTGATGCCTTGTGTTGGGTCCATCCCTACCAATGAGCCATGATAAAACTTTGCCCTTGACTTTGCACTGTAATTCCAGTGCTGGATTTTCACCTGCCCCTTGCTTTGAGTTGCTTTTTAATGGGGAGCTGCTCCTTAGTAAAATGTTAGCATTAAAGGCTGCTCCTGATGGAGGAGTGCACGTAGAAGTGGAGTGATACCAGGTTCATGTGTATTGACAAAAGAGTCTGCAATTCAGAACGTGCTTGTTGCCTGTTTTTGTAGCTTCTGCAAGCAGAGAATTGCTCGTTGGACAGACAGTCGGAATGTGCCCAAGTTTTCTGAATTAAGAGCTGAATCACTGTAATATTTCTTATAACCAAGACACCTATTTGGATGAGTCTTCCTTGCCATGAGAGCCACACCAAGTGTGATGGACACCGGGGGCTGCAGGCTGCCCTGCACCCGGCCACCCCTGCCAGTTCCCCGAGAGAGGGCCAAATTTTGCTTTGTGTGTATAGTATAAAAGTGTAGAAATGCAGTTCAGTTATAATTCTATGCAAGTTTTATCATCATTAGAATTCTGTCTTTATTTTGCATTGTGACTATTTTTTAAATGCTGTCTGGTTACGTTATTTTTCTTCTGGTAGTAGCACTACTGGGGTGCCAGGCATAACCAAAGGTCTGGATAGGTCTTTCCCTGGCACAGCAATTTGTGTGCAAAGGAAAAGGTGTTTGCAGGGGGAAAAGATAGAGGAGCTCTAGGAATTGATCCAATTTTGTATATGAGAGAGACATGCAGGGAAGGAAGCCTGGACATGGGGATTTGGAGAGTTGGGATAAGGCCTCCCAGCATTATTCTGGGGGGATTTTGAGCTAAGTCCTGTGACACGTAGACCCTCCCATCACTTAACCAAACAACTCTGGTGACGTTATGTCCTCTGGAAGTAACTGCTCCTTCCCCCAGCATATTGGAGCCTTCGTATAGAGGAAGGCGGAACGTTGGAGGTTACTTATAAATCAACCTCAATTTCAGCAGAAGAGAGACATTTCATAAGGATCCTTTGAGATTGGAAAGGAAGGACTTTGGGAAGACACAACTATTTTCCCTCGCTTTGTTTTTGTTGTGGGATGGCCTTGCCCCCGGGCAAAGCATCCTCAGAAGGTTTTGTGGCCTGCAGAGCTTAGATCAACCTCCGTGGGCCGCCCAGAAAGCGGGCGAAGCGCGTTCAATGTGGTCCAACTGCTTTGGAGCTTGTTGATTTTTAACGGAACGTTCTGGCCATCGCGGAGCTCGCGCTGCACCCGAGAGTCCTGGCCTGGCCCCAGAAGAGGTTTCACATGATTCATCCGGCTTCACTCGGCTTGTTTTTAAAAACAGCAACCCGTTAGGTGGCTCGATCTCTTGGAATGAGCTTGGCGTCTCATTCATTATCTTGGAATTAAGAGGTGGAGAAAAAAAAACCACCTCTACACATTCCTTTTAATTTTTTCCAGGGTATTTTATGATTTAGGCCTATTTCTACAGCTTGGGGAAGACGCCTCACCCCGATCCAGTGGAAAGCTCATTTTCTATTGGTAAAGAGACAATCATCTGGATTAAGTTTAGAATAATGTTCAGGTATGCTTGCTGTGGCAATGAAATCTCCTTTTCATGATTATTGCAAGGCTTTGGCTGAAGCCGTTCATCCTGGTGGAAATGTTGCAAGACCTTGGGCTGAACTCTCGTAATAGTGTCAGTTCTTCTTGGCTTCGTGTCATCTCAAATTAGAAAAACAGGCCTTTTCTAGCTTTCAACCCAACCCAAACTGGTTCCCTCCTAGGATTATCTCCATACAGCAAACTAGGAGCTGAACTTCAGGTCCTAGAAGGACTCTGTGCACCTCAGGTGTCATATGCCTGGCCGTGGCTGGTGAGGATGGTCATTTCAGATGATAATGCATCCTTGCATTGACAAATATGGTCAGAAACAACTGTTTCCCTCTTTAAACTGGTGGAGATCTTGCTTAATAATAGTTTTTCCCCCCCTATATTTCAGAGGGAAAGTGAAACTTTGAGTAACTGGTATGGCTGGAAACCTCATTTATTAGGAATTGAAATTCCAGGTCTCACCACAAGCAAGCATTTGTTTTAGCCTCCATGGTGGAGACCGAAGAAAACAGATGGAAGGTGTTTGAAGGGTTTACGTCAGGGCTTAGGGGTGGTTGTTTCTAGAGGGAGTGATCCCAGTGCTACCATCAAGGGACAGGGTGATACAAGGGAGGTTTCTAATCTCCTCCATCTCCTCTCTACTGTCTGAGGAGCTTGAAAACCAAACTAATATCCCCTTTTATTTTTCCTTCCCTAAAGGTTTTGCCAATCCTCGAGATCCTCTATCACGTTGAAGAAAGGAACTCACACCATGTTTACATGGCTCTCATAATTCTGTTGATCCTTACAGAGGATGATGGCTTCAACAGATCCATCCATGAAGTGGTGAGTTGCTGCTTTGGTAAATACTTTTTCAGAGCTATGAATCATTTAAATGCCTCTTTCTATACAAATGCCTCTGCATACCTAGCTGACCAGTTCCTTAGGTTGGTTAGGCTGGATATGTTCTTCTGGATTTGATGGCTTATACATATTTTTTTTCTGTAAAAAACAGTAAACCAAAGTCAGAAGTGTCTTCTCCAAACTTTCCCTGGTAAAATGAGCAAAAACATTCCCCCTTATAAAGGAGATACTGCATATATATGTTGTTTTTTCCTCTTTCAGGTGTTTCCTCAGGCACATTAGCACAGTAATAGGCAGGCTGCCTCAGAGATGATGAAAGTTTGCCACGGAAGTGGTGGGGAGAGTGGAGGGAGAAAAACAGGCAACTTCTTAAATTTTCTCTTTAGAAAAAGCAGCTCTGCTCAACCAGTTTGATTCAGCTGCGAGGAGTTTTTAGCTGGAGTTTTATTTTCCAAACGGAATGTTACTTCCTCTCTTGGCATCCCTTTTCTGTCTTTCTGCTAGATTAATATCTCTTTTATGTTGTCCATATAATATGATTCAAATTTTGACTAGCTTTGGCCCTTGACCATCTGTGCTGGAGAGTACCTTGGATAATTATGTTCTAGTTTCCTAGCTTCTCAAGCTTCCATAATGCAGATGATGTCTGTGTTGATTTTATTTGTTTTTCTGGCTGGGACGTGGAAACTGAATTATGTGCAACTAATGAAATGTAAAATGCTGGAAGCAAAATATCTGGGTATCTAAACAGATTTTTTTTTCTCTCAGGTAAACTACAAACTGTAGCCTTTTTCAGAGGGAATGTGACATTTTCCCTTGGTGACAAATGCCAGAGGTGTGCAGCATTTAATTTCTGAAATCTCAGATTATTTTATATACTTCTATATGTAGAAAGCAAGAAAAATTGGCATTTATATATATATATATATATATATTTTCTTGAGCACATTTTAGGGAGAACTCCTGCAGTAAATATGCAGATGATGGAAATAACATTTTTCTGAAGATTTCCTTCTGTACCCCCTTCACATCTTGAACCTAGATGGGCACCTTGTGTGCAGGTAGTGGGTATATTGTGTCTCATATCACTAAGTCATTTACCTTGGATCATAAATTGATCTTTTTGAGGGATACAGCCTGCAAGCTCCACTGCTGCCTCATGGTCTCTTCCCTCATCTTTCTTCATTCCCTTTGAAAGCAGATGGTCTTTCAACAAATTCCTTGCTGGATAAGTAAAAGTGGAAGATTTCCCTCAAATTGTTAATGAGAATCCAACTGTGGAATGAAAGCATAAATCAAGTTTCCTGGTCCAGTTTGTTCTTGCCTTTGCAGCTCTCCCTGCCAATATAGTTGTGGTGCTTTCTGTGTAATGTGGATATTATTTTACTACTTCTATTTTAATGGAGAAAAAAAAATATTTTGTTCCTCTTACCCTGCCTTTACTGCATATTCTTAGCCTCAGTGTCCCAGGGATGGGCTGGTGCAATGAAGGAAGAATAGGTCCTCTTCTCATGCAAAAATAAGCTTTGTACCTTGAAAGTCATCTGAATAAACTATGATGTAAGAGGAAAAAGAGTCAGTGACTGTGATATGGAGAATTTCTTTTTTTCAAGAAAATGTGTAATCTGTCATGCTCCAAAAACAACAATGAAAAGATACCTTGCTGATCTGCAAAGTTCACTGTCTACATTGGTGAACTTTGCAGAAGGCTGTGAATATGAGAATGCAAATGTGAGCCTTGCATCTCAGCTGGGGAACAGCTAGTGACCGGATCTGCTGCTGGTGGGGACCTGTGGACCTAGGATGGGCTAGAAGTACAGTTAGTCATCCACTTTTCCTTTGAGTGTGAAGGAGATGCAGAATTTACTGGCACATGGTTCCCTCACCTATCCTTTGGAATAATCATGTGAATGTGCCTTCATAGGACAGGGTTACCTTTCAAAAATGCTGTACAAACTAAGGATTTAGTCTCATATTTTCTTAAATATTAAGGACACAACTCCTAGAGGCTGAGAGGGTTTCACAAGGAAGTAAAATAGTGTGAGAAAATGATATATGTAACCCTAAAACACGACTATCCAGCATCAGTAGTACAACCACAGTTTACTTTATTTCACTACAAGTATTTACCACATTTTAGCAACTGCAACAGGAATTTATTTTTCCATTGCTTGGCTGAAGTATGAAGAAAAATAAGGATTTGATGCATTTTAGGTCAGCTTGTTTTTCCCTCCACTGCCTTGTGTGCCGTGTAATGTTCCTATATGCAGCATGACCATACAGCCCATTCAGGGGATATATTGCTTTGTGGTATCACACCCACATTTATTTATTGATTTTTTTTTTTTTTTTTTAATTAATTTTAGCAAGCCCAGTTTTGTAAATCTTGTGATTATAGCGACTGGTAAAGAGTTTAGGAAACCACGGAAACTCTTGACTGCTGAAGCATTTTTGTTTAAAATAAATGTGGTCCTAACCGCCCGGAAAGTATGATCAGAAACATAGGTCCTCTTCCTGCAACAGCTTTAATGCAAGATGTCTCTGTAGCCGCACAGAGACCAAATTCTTTCTCTAATAACAACAACAGGATAAACTAGTCAATGTGAGAGCTCCGTAAATGGACAACTATTGGTGTTTCTCCAAAAAAAAAGAGATCAGATCTCTAACTGAAATAGCAACCTATAGTACTACTGTAGTACTTTATTTTGTAGTAAATGGTGGCAAACTATGGAAATGACAGTGTAAATGTTTTATTTTCACTATGTAAAAACAAACAACTAAACAAAAGCCTAGCAAGCTGTTATGGGAAACTAAGGCTGAAGGTCTCAGTGCACATCGGAGTGAACCATTAGGCCAGTTGTTGTGATATGAGAAGTCCACAACGGAGTTTCTCTCGTTTTTGACTAAAAAGATCGATTTCAGGTGAGGTCTTTGGAGGTCACTGGGCATGAGGACCAGCGGATCTCGTTTTTTCTCCTCACAGTGGGATAAAAACAAATTGTGAAAACATAGTCTTTTGTGAAACAAAATTCTGGGTTTTGACCTAGGTGCACCTGCAGCTAGCTGTTCACATACTGCTTTGTAACCTCTCTTCAATGAGAAAAGAAAAAGAGAAACTCAGTTTTTAAGTTATTGCAACTACACATGCTGAATACGTTTTGATGGACTACTTTACAAATTTAATTTCAATAAAACTAGCTGTTGTTGGATATATCATTCTTAGCACGTTCAGGCTTTTCAATATTTGTTTCCATTTTCTTTTCCACTTCAAAATATGGCTGCTGAGAGATGGTCATTGCATAACTTCTGCAGTTGCTCAGCACTGATGTTGCTTTGATATTGGTTGGTTCTCTTTATTTATGATGAAAAATAGACTGCAAAGGAATTACGTTTGGCCACAGTGGATCCCGAAAGGAGTTGGTAAGAGGAACCAGATTTCCCAACTGCCAACTGCTGTCTACAACTGCTGCTCACTTCTCTGCTACTTTAGTTATTTAGTTGTCATGTCTTGTAGTCCACCCTGGGTTTCATTACTGTGGTTTCAGAAGCCATATTCTTTCCATCCATTTTGCAGAAATAATAGTTTAGGTTGATTTATACCTTTGTAGGATAAAAATTAATATTACTGGCTTCATTCTTTGCATGTGTAGAAGAGCAAGATATATAGGATTTTTTTGTGTGTATATACACAGATATATCTGAATATCTCGATACTCTTTAACTTGGCCTGAATGTGTTGCTAAGCCTCTGTAGGTGGGTTATTAGGGGAGAAGGTGTGTTCAGAGTTGAAGATGAGCAGAGCTGCGTTGAGTGCTCTAATCTTGTCACAAGGTCGTATCTAGGATTGAAAACATATCTTGACATCTTCCAAGTTGTCTATAAACTTTTCATACTTAAAAAAAATTGATGTGTGGTTAGGCCTGGCTGTGTAAGGAGCATGGGATTGGGTACAAGTGGAGAAAGAGAGAGAGATTTGTTAAAAAATGGGTGAGAAATGGGATTGCTGAGCCAAGAAATGAGAAAAGGGGGAGGACTGGAGCACAGCGACAAAGAGTCATGGAATCCTTAAGGTTGAAAGGGACCTTTAGAGATCATCTAGTCCAGTGTAGCACCGTCCAGTGCTACAGGAGGTGAAGTCAGACCACTTCCAGATGAGGAGAAGGGTGGGAAACGAAGAGGGAGGCTGGGAAGAGGGAGATCTGGGAAGCAATAGATCAGCTGGCCAGGGAATGGGTGCAGGGAGGGAGAACAGGGTGGCTGAAGGAACGAAGGACATGGTGGGGCAGGCAGGTCCGTGCTTCGCTTGGTGGGAAGGACATCCAGAAGGAACGTTCACCAAAGCGGCTGGGAAGCCACATGAGCCCAGGTTCATCCATGGGGAGAGGCTGCCTTCCCTATTCCACTCCTAAGGAAAAGCTTCCAGGTGATATCATCAGTAAACTGATGTTTTATCCCAGGATAAGTCCACTTTATCTCAGAGGAGGGAGAAAGGCAATCCTTGGGCATCGTTTTAGAGCATGCCTCTGTATGTTTTCAATAAGAGTCTGGAAATATTTCCCCTTATGTAATTTTGGCCTGGATTTACATTGTGCATGATGTCAAAACAAATAATGTTTTTACTACCCATTTTCACATTTACATTTTGTTTAAAAATGTTAAATTTTCAGTACACCAAGCATTCAGAAGTCAGGAAATGAAATGTGCAACCACAACTTATCCCTGTAATATTTACATACTACAGTAGGTGACTGTTTTTCTTAATGATCACATGTGGTTATTCATATAACAGTACATTTTTCTTCAGGAGATTTCAAGGGGGTGCAGTGGCCAGCTTTGGATATTTTTCCCAATCCAGGCAGTTCATCTATCCCCTGGTATAAAACCTACTCTTGAAAAGGGATATATTTACATAGATATAAATTAGTTCTGTTTAAGAACTCACAGCCTGTTAAGTGCAACCAAGGTGACTATGTCTGCTCATT